TGCTTTAGGAACTTTTGAAGCTTCAAATAGTTGGTGCCAGAGATTTATGAGCAGATATAATCTTGTGCTTCGGTGCCATACAAAACTTGGGCAAAAACTTCCTCGTGACTTAACTGAACAATTAGATCATTTTTATGAATTTATCAAAAAGTCATAGCGTATAAATAATTATGACTTATCCTGTATTGCCAATATGGATGAAATGCCCATCTACTTTAACATGGTTGGAAATCTTACCGTAGATCATTGTTCAGCAAAAACAGTTCAAATAAGAACTACAGGCAATGAAAAAAACCGGTTTACGTGTGTTCTTGCAATTCTGGCTGATGAAGTTAAACTCCTGCCCATAGTAATTTTCAAAGGCAAAAAACTTCCTAGAGGTCCCTTTCCCTTGGGTATTGTTATTAAAATGCAAGAAAACGGGTAGATGGACAAAACTTTAATGAATGAATGGTTAGATGAAATTTGGAGAAAAAGGTTTTCAACCTATGAACAAAAACGTAGCTTATTAGTGATGGATTCTTTTGAAGGACACTTTACTGACTCTGTTAAGGCAAAATGTAATGAACTGAACACGGTTAGAGGCATAATCTCCGGTGGACTTACTTCGTTAGTTCAGCCCCTTGACGTGTGTATTAATAAACCGTTCAAGGACCAAATGCGAAACAAATGGCAAAACTGGATGGCACTTGGCGGTTTCGAGTTTACAAAGGAAGGAAATTTAAAAAAGCCTCCTTATAATCTTATCTATCAATAGATAGTTGAAGCGTGGAATAATATTCCAGCTGATATGATCATTAATTCATTTGAAAAATGTGGTATTCCTCATAGTATTGAAAGAGAATTAGAAGATGAACAAATGATAATTCCAGTAGAAGATAGAGAAAATTATCTGATTGTTTACATTGAAAATCTGAAATATATGCCCGAGTACTAGTTAGTAGCTATTTCTTATATTTCTTATTAGTAAAAAAAAATCTAATATATTTATTTTATATTAGATAATGCGAATGTCTTGCTTCTTCGTGGAACTAAAGATGATTTCACTAAAGATTCATTTTGGAATTTATGTGATAAGCAAACAAATCTTGTTGTAGTTATGAAGGTTAAATGAAATTCTTGGTGGTTATAAGATACATAGTGAATATCTTTTGCTATAGTTCAATTATTAAAAATTAGAAATACTAATAGCATATAAAGTCTTGGTAATTTAGAGTTATTTTACCATATGAAATAAAACTATTGCATTTGCTTGAATACAAATATTTGAAAACCAAATTAATTTGAAAAGTTTTTTATTTATATGATTATTTAATAAAGGCACGAAAGCCTATTTTAATTCATTTAAAAATAACCTGTATTAGTCAAATAATATCTTTTCGCGTGACGTTAAACATGTGACCCTTAGAAAGTAGCACAACAGGGACAGTATTTATGCATAAATTATATATGCGTGATATATATAAGATATTCAACTTACTGATTAAAAATTAAAAGTGCAATTTAATGATGTTTACTAAGCAAAAAAAAAAAAAGAAAAGAAATCCTATCTCGTAAAAAATACTGTCTTAAATACTATGCTCAATTAAACAAAAAACTAACATATTTGATTTATTCATCATTAATATTAATTAAAACCACTTTTTTATTAAAAATATATTCACACTTTAACATACTGCTAAAAATTAATTTATTTTGCACTTTAACATACTATACTATGCTATCAGCCCGTTAGGCTCTATTATTGTTTTTATAATATTCAAATGTATAGGCAGAATAACATTCCTAATGAGAATATAAAATGAGTATATGTGATATTGATATAATATAAATGATGTAAAATTATGCGATTTAGTGCGATTTTGTTTAACCACACTAAATCACATAATTTCTGTGTCTCTGTAGCATAAGAATTAAAATTTTAGCTTATAGAAATGTAATTGAATAGATTCTTTTAATAAATTAATACAGGCCTGAATGATAAAGTTGTGGATGTAAAGGTTCTGAGTTCGTTGACCAAAAGGACAAAAGTGCCAAGAGATATGAGAATGAAATAGAGAATGTGAATGTTAATTCAAGTGGTTATTGTAATTTGAAGATGAAAGACAGAATGAAAATAGTAAACAAACCTAAAAGCCTTAATGAAGAAATGCCAGGAATAGTAATGAAAAGAAAGCATTCGAATGTCAACAAAAATCAGCAGGGATGGTTCATGCTGATGAAATACATAGGGATGGATACTGCTATGAAAGCAAAAAGAGAATGAAATTAAGACATCCAATTGTTATCAAAAATTCACAGGTGTGGGTCATGGGAAATAGAACATTGTGTTAGCCATTGTAACCAAAATGGAATTGGTGACAAAATAAATAGCGACAAAGAAGTCAGAACAATTGTAGTGAACAAGTGCATAAAATCGTAGTAAATGAAAAAGAGATGGCCATAGTTAATCTTAAGAAGTTGAATCAAATAAGAGTAAAAATGAAAAATGTAACTGCTATGGGCGAACATGAGGCATCCAACTATTATCAAAAGTCTGCTGAAGCTGGCCATAAGATGTTTGAATGGTATTGGGGTGCTGATACAAGGTCCTAAACGTTATAATAAAAATAATATTGGATCTGATGAGAATAAGTCATTTGAAAGGTATTTTAAATCAGCGAAACTCATAGTTCTGATGGATGTATGGATCTTAGAGATCATGATCAGTTGAAGCCAGTGATAAATCTGTAGAAAGCACTAATGTGGTGTTCTGGATATTGTTGTGCAAATAAAATTAAAATAAAAAGGTATTTGAAAAGGTCCCGAATTCTGCTATCAATATAGAATAGACGTAAATAAAGGAATTTAAAATGTGCCGAAGGTGATAAAAAAATGAGTTTGATTACGATATAGAATATGGAAGCGAATTGTAGAGAGTGTGGTATATGTAGCAATATAGTATACCAGTAATAGCGATAGTACATACATACGTACTGTAATAGCGATCACTATACTATTTTTAACCAATAATATTATTTACGGATGATCTCGGTTGGGGGTGCTTATTTTTGGAGATTAATGATTATCACAGGGGGTGCTTATTTTCAGGGGGTGCTTATTTTCGGCGATATACGGTAGTAATTACGCTTAGCGATTAGCAATTATGCTTAGCAATTAATGATTAGCGATTAATGCTTAACACTTAATGATCAGTGATTACAATTAGCACTTAGTACTAAGTAAACTATGCTTAGCAGCAATGATTAGCAATTAGCTCTAAAGATATAAAAAAGCTGTAAATTTTTCCAAGTTAATATTAAATCTGAAATAACAACAGAATAACTTTTGGCTATACAAGGGTGTGGTGACTTAGTGAAGTTGACAAGTTGTCACATCTCCAAGCAACAGGACTGGAGTTCGAATCCTACTGGTGACGAAAATTCAAATTTATAGAAAATGTATTTGAAAAACTGTATCCTATTGGGTTATAGAATCTGTAATGAGAATTATACCAGCTTGTACTGGGAGGTAGTAGAATATGTAGTGTAATGTATGAGTTACACAAAATCTGAGTGAAGCTACTGAATAAATACAGCAAATTTACAAGGTACGGAATCCTGCTTGGCAAGATCCAAATAAAAAGGTAGCACAGATCTTTGACAGTTACTATATAAAGGATGATCAACTGGATACTAGAAAACTGGACGAGACCGAGATGTTTGGCAAAGCACTAATATCAACTAGGCCAACAGGAAAAACTGGAGGAAGGGTTCTGGCCCTTCTGGGCTATCGGATTGGGAGTTTGGGTTTCCAAAGGTATAGAAGAGAGTCCATAAAGTAGGTATCAGGATTTGGGTGAACTCTACAAGAGCTGTAGTAAGTAACTATAGTGGCCTCAGCTCGCAAATATTCATTCTCGGACTTGGTGTAAGTTACTGAAAAATCTCAGTTCAGAAATGTGTAGGACATAGAAAGATTGGAGACATCTACTTCGCCTATCTGTGGAGACCCATGAGCAACCAACGGGGTAACCAAGCCCAGGTAAAATAAATAGAGAGCACTTCAATATAAAGGTACCTAGCTTAGAATAATTGGTGGGTATATACATCTGTAATACTAAAAAAAAATATAGATCCATATAATCAACGATAAAACATCAATAAAGCTTGGTCCCGAAGGATACCTTAAAATAAAAAAAAAAAACTTTTGGCCACACAAAGATTATTTTTCATTTTGCATTACACGGCATTCAAAAATTTGATTGGGCAGTTAGATTTTTTTTTGTTAATCCAAATAAGTTTTTGATTTCTAAGGCTTTCTTAAAAAGTATTTTGTCTTTTCAGATAGTTTCAAGATCTTTAATTGACTTTCGAATCAGCTAAATAATATGATATTATAAAACTATGTCGAGTTTAAACTTATCAGTAACTAACCAAGTACAACAATGACTGGTAACTGTAATAACTATATACCAATCCGTTATCTATTTCAAAAATTAGTATGTATTAATGATAGACTTTTAAAACCTGCATTTCTTTCCGAAATAATACAAAATTTCAATTGAAAATACTAATAGGATGATTTATCTTTAAGTCAGAGATTGCTATCAATATGAAATTAGAAAAGATATTTCTAGAATTTACATATTTATTATAGACCTAATTGTATATAACTTTAAAAAAATACTTGTACATAGTGTTTATGCTAAAACTTCACTGCGAATAATTATCCACCGTGTGATAATATTTCAATAATCTTACTATTGTATTAGTTCAAACCAAATTGAAGAATAATTTAATCATTCTTAAATATGATAATTTAGTTATTTTTAAATATGAAAAAATTTGTATATTATTTTACAGGATCTTCTTTATGATCACTGTAGTATTAGGCATTATTGTGTATTATTGATGATCTAATACAATTTTTACGTAAATGTGACTATACCAAAATTTTACTATCAGATTTTAATATGAACATTATATAAAATCTAATTAGTTGAATCTGTTCTAATTTTTCATAATATTAACATTAAAATCGTAACGTTTATATTAAATCTGATAGTGAAATTTAGGTGTAGTCGCGTTTATATAAAGACTGTACTAGGCTATCAACAATATACAATAATGTCTAATACTATAGTGGTCGCAAAGAAGATCTGGAAAAATAATATACAAGGTTTTTCTATATTCAAATTTTAAAAGGAATAATGGATTAGTATATAGATATTATAGTTACAAGTTATTTTTATACCTGATAAATTACTGATAAGTTTAAACTCAACATGGTTTATAATACCTTATGATTTAGCTAATTCGAACGTTATTAAAGAACTTGAAACCATTTGAAAAAAACAAAATACTTTTTCAAGATAGCCTTAGAAATAAATAACTTATTTAAATTAAAAAAAAATAAAAAAAATCAGACCACCTAATTGAAATTTTGAATGCTTTGTGATGCGAAACAAAAAATAACCTTTGTATAGTCTAAAAGCTATTTTTGTATTATATGTATACTTATTTAGAATATCAATGTATATAATAGCTTTATATTAATCACTGGGTCTTAAATAACTTGGTCAATTATAATCTTAATCGAATCAGCTAACAAATCATCAGCCAATTTTTTATAAATGTCAAAGATTCTGTCTTAGTCAGGATTCTACTTTTGGGATATTGGTTATTCAGGATTTTGACTATACGGGATCTTAATCATTTCAGAATTTTAAACTGTTAGGATCTTGTTTTAAATGGAATCTTAACCTTCAAGATTTTTGATAATCAGGATTTTAACTATTCAGGATTTTAAATGTCTGGATCTTAACTTGTCAGGATTCTGTCTTAGTCAGAATTTTGACTTGTCAAAATTTTGTCTTAGTCGAGATTCTTAATCAGAATTTTGGATATCGAGATTATGTATTGTTAAGATTTTAGAAGTTGGGATTTTATAGTAAATCCACTTTTGTAATATAATCTGATTTATATACAAATTATGCTATTGCAAATTGCTGATATCTCTATTCAGAATAGAGTAAATCGAGTAAACCTGTGATTCTGATATGACTTTAGTGAGAGTAGTTTTATATATACATTATATAGATGGTAAATAAAAAATTGTGATAATGACTATAGAGCAATTATGCTTATATAAAGGTATAAATAATATAAAAATAGTTAGTAAAAAATAAATGTGATTATATTGATTTTGTGACTATAAAGGAGGTGACTATAGAGGGGGACAACTGTATATATAAGTTTAAATACTAAAAACAGTTAACAAAATAAAAAATCAAAATATTATATATAAGATTTAATTTAAAGAATTTTGTATAATATATTATTTGATATTAACAAATATAACAGAAATGTATTGATAATACAAGTAGATTGTGTTATAAAAGGTTTAAATAAATAATATCAGTAGTTGAATTACAGGTACAGCAAATAATATAAAACCTACAATAGTAGATGGATTATTTAAATTAAATATCAAAAAGTATATATTTTTTTTTATAGTCAAGGTTAGCCTCTTTGGCTTTCCGCTTTTATTAAATAATAGGATCATATGGTGTTCTTTTCAAGGGGACCTCAGACAAGTACATTCTGACGAGGATATATTCTAGCCATATCTGCGCCTTTTGAGTGCCTAATTAAGTATCTACCTATTACTATATTCTACACTAGATGCTATACCTATAATCCACTATTACTTGAGTTATCTAATTAAACCCTCTGATCCAAATTTTCCTGCCAATCCATCTAATCTCACCTGGAACATGCGATACATAAGTCAGTCCAAGTTTCAAGATTATCATGCGCCACCTATAGAACTACCAGCATGGTTAACTGATTTATCCTCGAGTGCATCATCTGCTAAAGCATTCTGGTTCTACTATACTGTATTACCTAGTCTACTTCAGTAACTTACGCCTAGGCTGAGACCAAGTACTTGTGAGCCAAAGCCACTACTATTACCTACTACACCCTTATAGAGTTCACCCAGACCTTAGCATCTACTATACAGACTATCCACCATACACCTATCATCTCAAACTTCCAATCCAGATGGCCTGGAAGGGCTGTGACCTGCTCCTGATCTTCATAGTTGGGTCCTTTTCCTCCGGTACTCTCCGGTGTCTGGTTAGTAGAGTGCTTTGCCAAACACTTCGGTCTCGTTCGGTTTTCCAGTTTCCTGGTTGATAATCCTTTATGTAATACTAGTGTTGTAAGCTGAATGGTTTTAATCAGCTGGCTAAGCCAGCTGACCAAAATATCGGCTAAGCAGCTGGCTAATGACTTATCTTACAGAATATTTTAGGACTTTCACAAAGGCTTTAACTTGTTCATCCCATTTTCTATTTTGGATTTATCAGGATTTTGACTACGTGTTATTTAGCTGCATTAGCTAGCTGACTCTTTTATATCGGCTAGCTCAGCTAGCTAAGCCAGCTTAGCTGTAGCTGCCTTAGCCAGCTTACAATACTACGTAATACCGTCAAAGATCTGTGCTACATCAAAAGTATATATTTGATTGAATATATTCTCTAATATAATAGAAGTTTTATTGTAAGCTTCTTTATCTATTAATTAAATAAAAATCTTATCCTAGAAAAGCTAGTTAAAAAAACTAAAAAAATAACAATAAGCTTATACTAATACTTATATTTTACATTATCTAATTTTATAGAGTTAAAATATTAGTAATAAAAATATATATTACAGTATATATATACAGCATGTATATATAAATATATAAATATTTTAGAAGAAAAGAACCCAACTGTAAGAACCAAAAGCAGGTTACAACCCTTTTAAACTATCTAAAATTAAAAGTATAAAGCAATTAGAAGTATAATTAATAGTTTGTAATATTACAAAAGATTTAAATAGATAATATTTATAATTAGATTATAGGTATAGTATATAGTATAGAACCTATAATAGAAAAGTTGTAAACAGACTACTTAAATTAGATACTAAAGTATATATATAACTAGATGTACTTTCTAATATATAGATTTTTATAAGGTGATAAGCTGCAAGCTTCTTACTCAATAATACTTGAATAAAATATCTTAGTTCTAAAAAGGCTAATTAAAAAAAATGAATATACTAATATTATAGTTTAAACTACTATACTAATTACAATACACATTTATCTAGTCTAATATATAAATATATTGTCTAATACAAAAAATAGATACTTTAATAATATAACTAAAACATATAGTAGCCTACCATATTATTGTGAACACTTTTTAAAAATTTCTTCAGAGTTAAATATAAAAGATATTAAGCTAAAAATTAAATTATAAATTCTTTAAATCTATATCTTTTAAATAAAAAAAAGTTTAAAAAATTTTATACTACAGTTTTTAAAATAATTAAATTTAAGTAAAATTTTAGATTTTTAAGTTTGACTAGTTTATAAAATTAATTAAAAAATAACTGCATAGTAAAAATTATTCAGTATAACAAATTATATATAATTTCAAAATTTTTTATTTTTTTTTGGTATTAAGGTGAGGCCTTGCTTATATCTTTATTAATAATTTTAAAAATAGTAACTACATTAAAGAGATACTACTATTTGTATAAGTACAAATAAAAACAAAAATTACATGCAAGAATAGAAGCTCAGACATATTTATCTGTGACCTAAACTCACTAGAGTGGTCAAAGACTCACCTAGGTATTCCAAAATTTTTTAAAATTTTATAAAAATTTAAAGTAGTTATTATTTCTAAATATAAAATTGTAATTTTTAATACAAAAGTTAATTAATTACCAAATATAGTACCGTACAGCACAGACCATAGTACCTTTTCACATCAAAATACTCTCCTATAAAAATTTTTGTAGTGGAATGCAAGATATTCAGGTACTTTGCACAGATAAAGTAAAATTAGCAGGCTTGTGGTTTGTAAAATACCCGAGTATTGGCTATGTAAAATACCCAGATATAATATATTATGTATTTCCTAATATATAATATATAAAAAATAATAGTTTAAATCTATGGTATACTAAAAAGATATTGGGATGCAATTTTGTTTACTTCTAATTAAAAATACTCTAAACATAGATCATTTATCTATTAACTTTATAAAATTATACAATTATATTGACATTAGCATATTTATTCAAATTTTAACTATTACAAATTAAGATTAGTATATCTACTTCATATACATTATAGTTTTGATAATCTAAACTAACAGTATTAGCACACTTATTTAAATTTTAACTGACAAACTAAAATTAATATGTATAATAGTTTTGATAATCTAAACAATTTTAATTGTTATTCAAAATTTTATAACTTATGATTAAAACCAGATTGTATAACATTTAAAAGTTTTTGATGCTCAATAATTGAATTATTTTTATCCAATTAAGAAGAGGAAATCATAGCATAATAACGTTTCAGTGTTATTAGGTTCAATTTCTAATGAATTATTTAAACTGCAAGTTCTTTCTTTTTAACTATTTAATACTTATACACTACCTGACTTAAATATTATAAGCTATTTATATATATATATTGCTCTTCAGTTTCTTTAATTTTAATGATTTAGTAAACTCTGAAAGTTTTCTTTCTTATTTAATTTCATCCTTCTCATTCATTTCATCTATTTCATCATCTTTGTCCTCACTTGAACTTGTATTTTCTAAATTATTAATTTCAATTTTTTTAGGTTCTACCAAATAGTTAATGTATTCCTCATCAGTATGGCAGTCATTTTCTTCATCTGTGTTTTCTTCTTCATCTATTTCATAATCTACTTCATATTCAGCAGCTTTCAATTGCTTCACTCTATTATAATCAAACAAAAAATCATCTTCAGAACCATCGATATTAATGGAAATACCACAACACTGAAATGATCTTCTAATAAGTTCTGGTTTCACATAATTCCATGTTTCTTTTATCCATGCCATAACTAATGCATATGAAGGGCATTTATACTTTTTAATTTTAGTAAGTTTATGAACCACATTTCTTATCCATTTGATATACAATTCTTTATACTGTAATGAATAAA